TTTTTAGTTGTCCAGATAATTTCTTTCTATTTTTAGTAGAGACAGGGTCTCGCTCTTGCTCAGGCTAGTCTCGAACTCCTGAGCTTCAAACAATCCGCCTGCCTTGGCCTCCCAGAGTGCTAGGATTACAGGCGTGTGTCACCGCGCCCGGCCGACAGGGAAGGTTTTTGAAAATAAGTTCCAAGACCACCTCCCCCCCATAAGAAAAAAAGAGAACCAAATCTGTTTGTGAATGGCAGCTAAATAGAAGAGCAAGTGGGTTTCCCTTGGCATTCACACTGGCCTGAGCCTAAATTCCTGGAGGTTGCCAGCAGGTGTTGACTGACCCTGGTCAGCAGCAGTTGCTTCATATGCCACTGTAGTAACTGGATGTGACACAGAAAATCCAGGCAAAGGGAGAGTGGGTTAACTGTGCTGTGTGTGTGAGTAACCACAGATGAAAACTGGAGCTTACTCAGCTAAAAAGAAGACTTGGTAAGCATTCCTGAGGTACCATCATAAGCTAGCATGATGGTACAATGCCCGTAACACCCATCTGGACAGCCCATGTTAAATTACTGAAGTCGAGATCTTTTCTAGGGGTTAATAAATGGAATTAATGGAAAAACATAAATTTTAACTGTTTCAGAGATGTGAACACAGCTGTGATGGAGTTACTGATCATGGCTTATGCGCTGAAGACTGCCTGTGCCAGGAATATTACTGGAGTCATTCCTTATTTCCCCTACAGCAAGCAGAGCAAGATGAGGAAGAGGGGTTCCATCGTGTGCAAGCTCCTGGCGTCCATGCTGGCGAAAGCAGGTGGGTGTGGACAGAGACCCCGGGGTTCCAGCACTGTCATTCAGGCCTCTTTCCTAGTTGAGATTAGTTCATACCTCAGATGTCTGGTTTGGGACCCAGTCTCTTTACATGTTGCTCACTGATTACTTTTTCCTATCTGTTTCTGTTTCCTTTTGTACAGTTTTGAGTAGGGATATGTGAGCTTAGTTACAAATTTTTTTTTTCTGTTTGTCTTACTTAAGAATGCCATTGTTTTGTGTTTTCTACTCTTCTCTAATCATGGACTTTTTATCATTCTTTCACTTCTTTTCTATTTCATCTTGTCATCATTAAAATTTTAGCTGGCAGTCTCGACATTCTTACGTGATCTTTTGAGCTTCAGGTCTAGATTTGTGTATTTGCCTTGGTTAGCTAAATTCTGTTTATGTCCACAGTATTAAAATTGGATTTTTCTTTTTCTACTTCAGTTTATATATTCTCCCCCCCCACCCGTTGCCTTTCTGTATCGCAGCTCATTACCATTGCTTTTATTCTCCTTATATAGCAGTGGCATGCTTTCTGGCCTATAAATCAAATGTAATATTTTACAATTATCGAGTTTTTATTTATGTTTGTTGAAGAACTCTAACACATGTTGGGGTCCTCAGAAAGAAACATACAGTCTTCCTTCAGTATCCTCAGGGGCTTGGTTCCAGGGCCTACCACCTCCCCTTCATAAAACCCTCTGACGCTCAAGTCCCTGATGTAAAATGGCATAGTATTTGCATATAACCTGTGCACATCCTCCTGTATGCTTGAAATCACTTCTAGATTACTTATAATACCTGATGTAAACACTGTGTAAATAGTTGTTATGCTGTATTGTTTAGGGAATAATGATAAGGAAAGAAGTGCGAACATGTTCAGTACAGACACAACCATTGTAGACCTAACTACATTATCCATTCGTGGTTGGTTGATAACCACAGATACAGAGGGCTGGCTATATTTGAATTTCATTGTCTCTAAAAAGATACAATGTTTTTAGAAAGAACAAGGAATACTAGTTCTTTGCTGTGGAAGTTTTGCAGTGACCTTTGGCCATTTGCAGTGTACTTATTTATGCACCTTTTCCTGGTTAGTACTGTTGGTTATAAGAATATGTCTTCGTTGTTTTTCTATAAGAATACTTCTTGAACCATTCTTTTATCACATGCAGAAATTGTTCCAAACTTCCACATCTTATCTTTGTGTTACATAAATTCCTTTTCTTCTAACATGTGTATTACTTTGCTTTCTTACTCCTTTCTGCCTCGGCCACAGTCCTTTCATATTTCTTCCTAGGTTCTTTATTCAAGGCCTTACCGTTTTTCACGTCTATTGCTTTGGTATTTATTAATTCCATTTTCATGTTTTTGCTCCCACTTGATTTTTCTCTTAATTTGCAGGACAAGCCAATAATCAATAACAGTAGAGGAGAGCACATTTTTCTTGGCTTTAGCTCTTTGTCCCTGTGGAAGGGTATAAGCTGCTTTAATTAAGCTTTACTGAGGTTAGCAGTAAAGTCTGTAACTACTGCACATGGTCACACTATCCCCTGTCTTCCATCTTCTGGTAGGAAGCAGGAGTTAAACATCTAGTTTATGTCCACTGTAGCCATTAACTTGTAGGGGTGAACTTTGTAATTTTTTGTTTTAAAATTTCAGGTTTAACTCACATTATCACTATGGATCTTCATCAAAAGGAAATACAAGGCTTTTTCAGCTTTCCTGTGGACAACCTTAGAGCCTCACCTTTCCTGCTTCAGTATATCCAGGAAGAAGTGAGGAGCCAGCAGCAGACACCCCATTGTCCTCAAAAGAGATCCTATTTAGTTCTTCTCTGCCACCAGATTTCAATATTGAAAGGCACATCAAATGATCTTTCCCTTAAGTCCTAACACCAGAGGCAGCCAGATAGGGTCCGCATTTATGTCACGGAGGATCGTTTTTAAAAGACAGTAGAAACAGAATTCCTTCAAGTATCTTTAGCAATTTGCTTATATTTTCTAAAATAAGAATTTTTTTATCTTCTTGATGTAGGTGTACTTTTTGCAATGATGTTAAATGATAAATGTTGAAAAATTTAAAATGTGTGACTGAAATTCTAGCACATTTGATTTCTAGTTTGAATCATTACTATTATAAGAGGAAAAACTGTAATACCGGCAGTATCCAGGTGTTATTTTTTGATAACTTTTCAGTATTTTCTATTTTTCCTTCAAATTTAGATTCCAAATTACAGAAATGCAGTCATTGTAGCTAAGTCTCCTGATGCTGCAAAAAGGTAAGGAAATCAGACATTTATAAGAATCCCATTTTTCTTGCCTTATGTCTATTAAAGGAAAAAAAAAAAGAATCCCTTTTGGGTGCTTTTGAAGTCAGAATTAGCTGTTTTGGAATCCAGGGGCTGTCTTAACATGGCCTGTAGAAGCTCATTGGCTCGAGCTTTCCCCTGTGTCATTCTCCTGCCCCACGCCACACACAGCTTTATCTCTAGCCTCCAAACACCACTAGTGGACCTCTGAATTGCTCAGCTTTCCTCTGGGAGAAAATGAAGTTCTTTCTTCAAGTTCTCAGGAAAAGGAGAACAGTGAATCTATTTATGAGCATTTTTCAGAAAATGATTTTTGATAACTACTTTTTTTTTTAAGAGACAGGGTCTCTCTCACCCAGGCTAGAGTGCAGTGAGTGTGATCATAGCTCCCTGTAACCTCAAGCTCCTGGGCTCAAGCAATCATCCCACCTCAGTCTCCCAAGTAGCTGAGACCATAAGCACATGCCACCTCACCCAGTCTTGAGACAACTTTTTGAACAGAGTTCATTTTTCTGAAGCTGACTGTTAGAATATTGGACAAAGGACAGAATCAAAATGATCTAAAATCAGGTATTAGCCCAGATCCCAGCTCATGTGCCCTCGAGGCATCTGCATTCTGGCCTAGGCTTCACATTCTGATTTATAGAAATAATTCTTTTGTATGTCCCTAAAAGGTTGAATGATACATTCATTTTATGATTAATAAAGCAATGAAATGGTGATGCTTGGGTTTTCTTCCCATCGGTTTCACCGTTTCCCTTTGTCCTCTAGGGCCCAGTCCTATGCTGAGAGACTACGTCTGGGTTTGGCTGTCATCCACGGGGAAGCTCAGTGCACAGAGCTGGACATGGACGACGGTCGCCATTCTCCCCCGATGGTCAAAAATGCTACTGTGCACCCGGGCTTGGAGTTGCCGTGTAAGATTAGCTCTGTGTTTTTTTTTGTAAATTAAAGAAACTTTTAAGTAATGGAAATGGCTACGTGTTAACACCTATGTAGGTATGTTGTTGTCTTGCTGTTTTTAAGTGATTGGATGATATTGCATTTGGTTTTCCCTTTTGTAAAGGGAGCTTGTATGTGTTACACACATTTACAGACTGTAAGGACAATTGAAATCTGGGTAGCGCTTAGCATTCAGAGAGCTTTAAATAATTTTAGATTTAGTACAAAAATTTTATGTGTCATAGTATGAAATCTTAAGCTTTTATATTTTGGTAAGCTGGGTGATAGCAGCCATTGATCAAATACCAGACTTTGGCCATCACATAACTTTTAGTACTTATTTTTCCAGTATATCCATTGGACCTCATACCCGACTAGCTTGCTGTTACTAATGCAACAGCGTGGAATCTATTTACTTTCATGGACTTTGGAGAGGGGATAACTATAAGCATCCTCTACTGGAAGATATGTTGAAGGTTTTTAGAGGAGGGATATCATTTCTCTTTAAAATCTGTATCTATTTGCCATGCCTCAGAAACATACAGGAATTAGTAGGGTGTGGAAGTATTAGCATGGGTACATGCAGGCAGGTGCTTACCTAAGGTATAAACATTCTGATTTTTTTTTTCATCCTATAAATCTCCCATTGCTTTATTTTCAACTTTGGAGATTGTT